TCTCTGCTCTTACTGCCGCTGTCGCTGAGTTTGCTGCCGCCAGCCGCCTTGACTACGCCACCCGTGTGGTGCCAGCTCCTCCCTACCGTCCTCTGTCCGTCGGGGGTGGGTTTGCCCTTGGCTGTGACGTCCTAGAGGACAGAGAGTCTGAGCTGGAGTACTGGGCAGCCGCTTCTCCCTCTGTGTGTGCCATGCTGCTCTCCCCTGAGGGAGACCCCGACGCCCTTGACATACCGACTCCTCGCACTTACCGCGAGGCAGTGTCAGGGGCGTGGGCCTCTCAGTGGAAAGCGGCTATGGACTCAGAGTTGGCGTCTTGGAGATCCACAGGCACCTACGTCGACGCAGTTCCCCCTCCCAGGGCGAACGTAGTCGATGGCATGTGGCTCTTCAAGGTGAAGCGGCCGCCTGGAGCACCGCCGGTGTTCAAGGCGCGCTACGTGGCTAGGGGCTTCAGTCAGCGTGAGGGAGTTGACTTCTTCCAGACCTTCGCCCCGACCCCGAAGATGACTACTCTTCGGGTGTTACTCCACATAGAAGCGCAGCGAGACTATGAGCTGCACTCCCTCGACTTCTCCACTGCGTTCCTCCAGGGCCGACTGCACGAGGAGATCTGGCTGCGCCGTCCTCCTGGCTTCACTGACACCTTCCCACCTGGGACCCAGTGGAGCCTGAGGCGACCAGTCTACGGTCTCCGCCAGTCGCCCCGTGAGTGGCACGACACTCTTCGCTCCACGCTTCGTGACCTTGGGTTCAGCCCGTCCTCCGCCGACCCGTCGCTGTTTGTTCGAGCGGGTTCTACTCCTTTCCTTATCCTTGTCTACGTCGACGACTTGGTGTTTGCTACAGCAGACAGGGCAGCCCTGGCTCAGGTGAAGTCCGAAGTGCAGAAGAGACACAAGTGCAATGACCTGGGTGAGCTGCAGCGTTACCTTGGCTTGCAGATCACCCGGGACAGAGCCGCTCGCACCATCACACTGACGCAGTCACACATGGTGCAGCAGGTCCTTCGGCGGTTCGACTTCCAGTTCTCCACCACTCAGCCCACTCCTCTTGCTGTTGACCACAGAATCACGGGCCCCTTTCCTGACGAGCCCTTTGAGTCCAGTGGACCCTACGCAGAGCTGGTGGGCTGCCTCATGTACCTGATGACTTGTACTCGACCGGACCTCGCCTTTCCCCTCAGCATCCTTTCTCGCTTTGTTGCGACTGGGAGACACCGCCATGTCCACTGGACAGCTGCTGTGAGGGTGGCGAAGTACCTGGCGACTACATCAGGCATGGGGCTTGTGCTTGGAGGGACTCGGCCAGTGGCGTTGACTGGTCACTGTGACTCTTCCTACGCTGACGACGTGGAGACTCAGCGCTCGAGTCAGGGTTACTGCTTCAGTCTGGGAGCTGGTGCTGTGTCGTGGAGGTCTACACGGTCGTCGTCTGTGGCTACTTCCAGTGCAGAGGCAGAGATCTACGCGGGTGCCATGGCGGCACAGGAGCTTCGCTGGTTGACCTTCTTGCTCGCCGACCTTGGTGAGCGGCCTCGCTCTGCACCGACCTTGTACGCTGACAACAAGGCCATGATCCTCCTGTGTCGAGAGCCTCGACTGGAGAGCAGAGTGAAGCATATTGACGTGAGGTACTTCCTCCTGCGAGAGCTGCAGCGACGCGGCCAGGCACGCCTGGACTTTGTGGCCTCAGAGGCCAACACTGCAGACGTCTTCACCAAGGCCTTGGCGCTTGGTGACCACCACAGGTTCTGTGTGCAGTTGGGGCTAGTTGAGGTAGGCCCTCGGTTGCTGTAGTCCTGTTGCTTGGTCTGCTTGTTGTGCCTTGTCTTTATATCCTAGTGAACTCTTGAACCGGCCTTGTGGCCGCTTGCTTGCGTTTGGAATTTGTGTGGTGTCCTTGAGATCCACCCTGAGCTTGTCTTGGTTCTTGCTTTGACTGGTCTTGTGACCGTTTGTTCACCTTGCTTGCTTTGATGCCCCTCACTTAGCCTATGGGGGTGTGTCAAATGTTGAACATTGATATGATAGGCTGTAGTGAGTTGCACTCTAGGGGGTACAGTTTCTAGGGTTGCTTATTTGTACCCCATTCGTTTCTATTCCAACTATTCCGTTGCTAACCACTCTTGAGACCATCCACCCAGAGCAACATCGAACAGACACCTTTCGTACCGAAACGCATTTTATCGCGTACAATTGCCAACATGAGGCTGGTTGTGATAAGGATTTCTGCGCCCTCATTCTCAATTCAGCTCCGACAGGATATAACTATTACTATATCGAGGCTACGGATTCAGGTTTGACCCGGCAGCCATGGCGTCCGTTCCGCACCCGCTTCTCCATTCGTCCTTCACCGCACGCCACTATCCCTCACCTCGCCTACTTCCTGCGCACGCGAATCCGCGTTTTTCTAGGTTGGCAATAGTCTACTTGCTATTGCTTATCGTGTTCTCCACGATCACCCGATTCCAATGATATGCGCAGCCTTGCTTGAAGTTGTCAATACACACTTCAGCAATTTTCAGAATCTGATTGGTATATTTTCCTGAATGAGTACAAGCAGTTTTATAGTCCAACAAGATACAAAACGCGATTCGTAACGTAACTTGTTTCCCAAATAATCGCGTGCGCCTCGTTTAACCCCGAGTCGCACACACAGCCGAGCCGAATTCACCGAACACTCCTTGAGTCCGAATCTCGAACCTTCTCGAACGCGCCTTGGTCTCGAACCACATTCTCTCCCGTCAATCTCATTCTCGATGTTTCTCCTTCTCTCTTCCTCCTTCTAGCACGTTTCTTCTCGAATTCTCCATTTCATTCCCGCATCTCACGCCGTAGCTTCCAATATCCACCGTAGGCCGATTTCCACCGTCTTCGATCTAGAATCTCCCACGCGCTCCATTCCGCCGTCATTCCCCATCTCGCCGTAGGTTTCGTGGTTCGTTGAACCATCCCTAACAGTTTTCAGGGGAATCAAAAGATTCTTTTCGCCAGCAACGGGGGGTTCGTGTGATCCCAGCCGTAGGATACAATGTCCATCAGCAGATCGAACGGCGAGCTGGAATTCGCGCGATCGGAGGGCCGCCAGGAATGGGCGCATTTCCGCGCCCGCAGCAAGGCGGAAACGTTCTCAAGGTGCCTTTAACCAAAATCATCCTCGTTAATAGCGATAATTCAATCTGATGCTCTTCAATTATATACACCTTGTTGTTACTGGTGACGTACGGAGTGTACTTACACGTGCTCCTTGGCGTTCGCGGTGACCAGCAGTACCGTGCTGCCACGTGTCGTCCTGTGGCCTCAGCGCGAGGCACCACCATCCTCTCCACCCTCTCAACTCCCTCTCCTCAGCTCTCCTCTTTGCAACCGCAGCTCCCCGCAGTTGCGAAAGAGAGCTGAGAATCGCCATCTGTGGCCTCTGAAGACTAGTTTTGAGGCGCCTCAAAACGAGAGCTGAGAATCGCCATCTTTGGCCTCTGAAGACTAGTTTTGAGGCGCCTCAAAACGAGAGCTGAGAATCGCCATCTGTGGCCTCTGAAGACTAGTTTTGAGGCGCCTCAAAACGAGAGCTGAGAATCGCCATCTGTGGCCTCTGAAGACTAGTTTTGAGGCGCCTCAAAACGAGAGCTGAGAATCGCCATCTTTGGCCTCTGAAGACTAGTTTTGAGGCCTCAAAACGAGAGCTGAGAATCGCCATCTGTGGCCTCTGAAGACCACCATCCTCTCCACTCTCGCCTCAGCTCACCTCACCACTCCCCAGCTCCCCACTCTTGATAGAAGTAGTATTTTGAGACGTCTCAAAACTCCCCGCAGTTGCGAAAGAGAGCTGAGAATCACCATCTGTGCCCTCTGAAGACCACCATCCTCTCCACCCTCTCCTCTCTCTCGCCTCAGCTCACCTCACCACTCCCCAGCTCTCCTCTCTCGCCCCACCCCCCTCACAGCTGGTGGTGAGCGGACCTGTGGCCTCGCCTCTCGGAGCCACCATCCTCTCTACGCACTCCTCTGCTCGCGGGCTGCAGTTAGCTGCTTCAAACTCATATAAGCATTTATATCCCCTTATCTTCCCCTTGTCTTCCCCTTATTTTCCCCTATCTACCCGTTATCTGCCGTTAACCGCTGGTGGTGAGCGGCTCTGTAGCCTCTCCACTCGGAGCCACCATCCTCTCTACTCTCTCCTCTGCTCGCGGGCTGCAACCAGCTGATATTCCTTTCCCCCCATTGACTGACAGGTGGCGCGTCGAAGTGGCAAAGTTACTGGTTCCTGGTGGAAAGAGAATTCGATCTGGCGCTGGAGGTGATCAACTTCCTGCACCTGCCAGCCGTGCACGTGCACTGGCTGATCATGTCCCTGCCTTGCTCGTCCCACTCCTCACTGATAGGCGCCGCGTCGAAGTGACAGTGTTTGTCGGTGGAACAGGAGTTCGACCTGGCGCTGGAGGTGATCAACTCCCTGCACCTGCCAGCCGTGCAGATCATGGATCGGATCAAATACATGCTGCAGCTTGCTGACATGGATGAGGTGAGAGAGTCACAGACAGCCGTGATTCATATGTATTCTCCCTTGCGCATGTGCGCGCACATCACCACGCACGAACCTCTCTCTGTCTGGGACCGCGTGCTGTTTGAAGGGCTCATGGATCGGATCAAGTACATGCTGCAGCTTGCTGACATGGATGAGGTGAGTGAGACACACAGTTCGTAGTTATCTAAGTGTGAACTTTCTTTGAAATCCAATTCGTTAGCAAATCCACAAATGGATGAGGTGCCGTATGAAACTCGCATGGTCTGCAGCCTATTTTACGAACCTCACTTCCGAACCGCACTGCCACACCTCAATTTCTTGTTTCGGAATCTCGTTCCTCGACCCTGGTCCTCCTCCATTGTTTTCCTCCGCTCAAATTCTGCACACGTGTCCTCAGGTGATTGGAGCAGAAGTGATGGTCTACACCCACACTGCTGTCAAATCTCTCCCTGACCTCCACCGGGCGGCAAGACATGTCCCGATCTGTTAAGCTTTCCAAGGAGCAGATCGACCGACTCATACACATGCTGTCAGACGAGCACAAGTGAGTCCTTTGGTTTGCGTAAGTCTGCTGGTATATCCACCCTACTCATGCCTCTCCGAATCCCCCCCACCTTCCAGGAAGGTTCTCTTCAACGTGGCTTGTCGCAAGCTTCTCTTGGCCTTTCAGATCGCCAGGGGGCACTTCCAGCCTCAAGGTGGCCAGGGGGGTCTGGCAGCTACTGCCAGCACCAGCGGCAGCAGCACCAACACTTGCGGCGGCAGCAGCAGCAGCAGCAGTGGTGAGGGGGGGGCGTTGGGTCGGTGTACCCGCTACAGAGTCGCATCAACGAAGTGATTTTCATCATGCACGAGGCTTGGAACGCACCTAAGGTTCGGGAGCACTGCCGGGAGTGGATGCTGGCGGCTCGGAGCGTTGTGATTGACAATGTGGAGCCGCATGCACAGCCTCACTTGCTCCCTCACACCCACGCATGGCCTCTCGGGCACGGGGCACAGCAGCCACATGCCTTGCACTGATCGCCTTTCCAGTGCCGGGAGTGGGTGACGGCTCGGGATGTTATTGACAATGTGGAGAGACACTCACAGGCTCATTTGTTACCTCATCAGGCATGGCCCCTCGGGCACGGGGCACAGCAGCAGCAAGCCCTGCGCTGGTTGCCTTGCCATTGAAGGTTGTCACATAGGGAGTGGCTGGCGGCTCGGGGCGTTGTGATTGATAGTGTGGAGAAGCATGCACATGCAAACTTGCTCCCTCCCACCCACGCATGGCCTCTCAGGCGTGGGGCACAGCCGCCGCATGCCTTGCACACACAAGCTCACACACTCCCTCGCACTCAAGCATGTGCTCTCTCTCCTTACATGGGGCACGGCTGCGCTGCGCCTCCTCAATCCGCGCCGTTCCTGCTCGCGCTCGTCCAATGGCTGTTCTTCGTCCTACCCGCGCTCTCCTGCTGGTGCAGCGACCGCGGGTTCCCCCTCCGCGCAACCCTCAAGTTGCAGCTTCCGCGGGGGAGTGGGGGAGGGGAGGGGGGGAGAGCTGATGGGCGGGGAGGTGAAGGGGACGGGGACAGGGGCGGGGAGATGGGAGCGTTAGCGGGGGGAAACGAAAGCTGGTGGAATGCGGTTGCAGCAGGGGCGGCAGGGGCTCCTGTTTTATGGGCTCTGCTTTTTTTATTTCTCTCAAATCAGGCGCTGGAGGAGGCGCGACAGGGGGATTAGCAGAACCAGCAGCAGGAATAGGAGGAGGAGGAGGGGGGGATGGTGTGAGTGCTACAGCATTGTTGTTAGGTCCTTTGCTGCTGCCTGATGGGAATGGAGGGGGCGTGGCTGCTACAGCTGCCTCTGCTACAGCCGCCGCGGCCCTCCCCCTGTTGGACCTGCTACAGCTGTTCCTGTGGGTGGCGGTGTCGCCGGCTGTAGCAGAGGAGCTGCTGTTTAGAGGGCTGCTGCTCACGGCCCTGCAAGAGAGGCTCCGCAGGTGAGAGGCTCGGGAGAGGGCTGGGTTGTGTGGTTTGACAATGTTCTTCTACCCACTGTCTTCCTTATGGAATGGGGCAGTCGCTCGACTCTCCAAAGTCCAGCCTCTCTCTCATCAATGTAACAGCACTCGTTCTTTTCCTCTTACCCTTGCCTCTCGTGGTACATCTAAGAATTGAAGCCAAGGTAATGTAAGCTATGTTTGTAATTACAAACACAAGGCAAGACTAATTACTGTTGCCTTGTGAACTATGGCAATGGACCAATGATTGTCAGCTTTCTCTCCTCCCTATGCGAACCCCTTCCATGCCTCTCTTTCCCTCAGGGTCGACGCTGCCATGCTGTCGGCAGCCCTTTTCGCCCTCTTCCACCTCTCCCTCTCGCTCCTCTTCCCCAACATGGCCCTTGGGATTGCCGCAGGCCCGCTCGCGGTCTACTCCAACAACGCGCTGCCAGCTGTCGCTCTGCACACCACTTACAATGCGTCTGCCCTTCTTTATACACTCCTTCCGTCCAGCACAAGAGGCTAGTCTTTTCCTGCAACCACCTACAATGCATCTTGGATGTTCCAGAATACATTGCAAACAAAACGATGTATATCCTATTTCAGAATAAATTAGATTCGTTAGCACTCATATGTAGCTTGACTTTCTTATATCCTTCTTATGCCTTTTTTTAACCTATTCCAGCCAGCCAACCAATATATAGAACATAGTGCAAATGCAAGAAATACACGACCTCACACACCCTACACACGAGTCAAGCTTTCATCAATCCCAATAGTGACAGATCCGAGGTGACAATGCTGAAGTGATAATTTCGGAATTGTCACAGTTCCAACGTCACTTTCGCTCGGGGAGGGGTGAGCTTTCACTTCTCGCCTATCTCGAGCTTGCCGTTTGAGGAGACACTCGAGCAGCACATATCGAATCCCTGTCTTCTAGAATCCATGTGCTGCTTCGCCCTGCCTCATTCGACGGCACGCGCAAGAGGCAGAGAGCTCCTCTGGGCAAGTAGCAGTGGCTCGACCATTTTATGAGTTGTCCATCACGAGAAACAAGAGCGGTTTTTAGTATCTGCAAGGTTTTTTAAACGACGAATTGCTTAGGAGCGCTCAATGTAGTCGCGAGCTACTGACATTATTCATAAATTCGGTTCCCCTGCTGTTCGCCATGGCGTGTGTAGCTCCTTCATCCACGTCGATCAACAGCTTAGACTTCACGCAGACCTGTCTTCGTCCCTCTCGATCTCTTTATAGGAACCGCGTGAGTCCATTCAGATCTGCATTTCCGTCATGGTCGAGCCCGTACCAGCTCGGATTCGGCCCATTGCACCACTCGGTACAGAAATCCTTCGTAAGGATTCGAACCCCTGATCGGAGCATTGCGATCAGATGCTGTGCATTAAACGGTTCCATGCCAGCAGGCTCTCCAGAGGCGCCGGTCGCAAACCTTCAAATGCAACCGACGGCCGATGACAGGCCGACCGTTGGGACGGGGTTTGAGGCGCGTGAAGTGGGGAAAGTGGAGGCGGGTGCTGATAGAGAAGGGGAGGAGAGCATCAGAAATTTGAAGGAAAAGCAGGGGGGAACAAAGGAAGTTCGGGGTACGAGGCGAGGGAGGAGAGCAGGCAAAGAGAAGGCAAGAAGCGTAGGAAGCGAGAGTAAGAGCAGAGAGGCGGGAGCATCCAAGGAGGAGGAAGAGGCAGTGGCAATGATTGCTCAAGTGCTGATGAATAAGTACGGACCTCAGATTGTGAAAGAGGAGGAGGAAGAGGAGGGGCCTGGGAACGGAAGGATTGAGGGACGGGAGGAGGTGAAAGGAGAGGAAGAACCGGAGCCAACAACGGCGGCGGCGGCGACGGCGGCGGCGGCAGCCGAGGAGGAGGATGGAATGGACACAGAAGAGGAGGAGGAGGAAGCAGAAGCAGAAGCGAGTGAGGAGGGTTCACCAGGCACCACATCTCGCACCCCACGTGCTACCTCTCGCTCCCCCCTCCTCTCCTTTTACCGTTTCTTCTCTTCCCACCTCGGCATCTCCTCCCCCTCCACGCTCGCTTCCGTCCTCGCCTCTTACCCGCAACTTCTCCGCTCCCATCCCACCAATGACTTTCTGCCACGTGTCCGTCTCCTCCAGTCATACGGCATTTCCAATGCTGACATCGTGCACATCACTTTGAGAAGCCCTGCCTGGCCCCGAACCCCCCTCCCACAGATTCAGAATACGCTTGAGTTCCTTTTGGCTAAAAACGTCCGCCGAAGCAGATTGGGCTCTGTGCTCCGACGTGGACTGGGCTTACTCTGCAGGGAGCCACGTTCAACGAACCTGGACATTCTGGTGGAAAGAGCGGGAATTCCCGAGGACAAGCTGGGTGTGATTAGAGGGATGTCCGCCCATCTTGGGTAGGAGAGAAGAGGCGGTGAATATTCAGGTTGAGATGTTATCAGCCTATCTTGAAGCGAAAAGTGGAGGGAAAGAAGAAGCAGATAGCACCAGTACAAGCCCCCTGAAGCAGCAAGTAGATGAGCAGCATTTGGACACGAGCTCCCTAAGCAGTGTCATCCTGAGGTGTCCAACCATCCTCTCTAGCCCTCCCTATCGCATTGCAGAGAGTGTCGCCATACTCCAGTCCTTCACTCCCCCAGGCTCCCTCTCCGTTGCAAGCTCTGTGCTCCGCCGTGCCTCCACCGTCCTCTGTTTGAGCCCAGAAACCCTTCTACTCAAGCTCCGGTTCTTTGTGGAGCTGATAGGGGAGGAGGCAACGGGAAGAGTGGCGAGGACATACCCGGAGGTTCTGCAACTATCCAAGGAGAATATGCAAAAGAAGGTGAAGGTATTGGGTGATTTGATTGGCCAAGAGAATGCTATGCGGGCGGTGGCGCTATTTCCGACGGTATTAAATTCTAGTGAAGATGGCATGAAGGAGAATTTTAGCGAGCTTGTGCGAGAAGTGAAAGATGCATTGGAGGAGAGCAATGCAGAAGAGGGGAGTGGGACACTAGGATGGGAAGAAGGTGAGAGGGGTATTTGCTTGGAATGGGAGAATGAGTCACGAGCGTGTAACTCGGCACTAAGTGCCAAGAGATACAGGGCTCGTCAATTGGTGGTGGATTTGATTCTGAAGTACCCATCGTCGATCCGCTGCACCTGGAACACAAACCTGAAGCCCAAGCTGGAGTACTTAAAACGGGACATGGGGCTCTCTATAACGGAGGTGCTTGCTTTTCCTCCCTTTCTTGGGTACAGTTTGGATCGACGAATCAGACCGCGGCATCTGGCATTGATGCGATTGGGCTATGCTGTTGTGGCACGTGATATGGTTGGTCAGACAAGTGTTGGAGACAGGAGGGTTGTTTTCACAAGAGCTGGAGAAGAGAGGAGCGAGCTTGGTTTTGTGTCGGACAAAGTGGAGGGAGTGGAGAGGATTGATTGTGGGGCGGAAGAAACAAAGAGTGAAGGAACAGGTGACAGGCAAGAGCAGCAGTGCGAAGGGGAGAATTGTGGCAATGGGGTGTTTTTAGGGGGTGATGGGCGAGGGGAGAGAGCTGCCACAGAACAACTGCTTGTGAATTCGGATGCGGAAAGTAAGGCGGTATGCTTGCAGCAGTTTCTACACTGTTCAGACAAGCTGTTTGAGGAGAAGTTTGCGGTCAAGCTTTAGGGCTGGTCCTGCTTATAGGCTACATGTTGAATTTTGACAGGACACTTTATTGCCTTCTGTTGTAATTCAGACTCAAAGTAAGCACTTTCTACGGTATCTTGGCTGCGTGATGCAAGGCAGAGTTTACACTGTCCAAGGGAACAAGTGCCGTACGCCTGTGTGTGTGGCTTCACATTATCAATCCCAATGCTCCGAGTTGCCAGCCACTCCCGGCAGTGGCAAGCCAAAAGGCTACTGCAAGGCATGCGGCAGATGTGCCCCGCGCCCATTCGTAGGTGGGAGGGAGCAAGTTTGCATGTGCATGCTTCTCCACACTATCAATCACAACGCCCCGAGCCGCCAGCCACTTCCTATGTGACAACCTACAATGGCAAGGCAACTAGCGCAGGGCTTGCGGCTGCTGTGCCCCGTGCCCGAGGGGCCATGCCTGATGAGGTAACAAACGAGCCTGTGATTGTCTCTCCACATTTTCAATAACATCCCGAGCCGTCACCCACTCCCGGCACTGGAAAGGCGATCAGTGCAAGGCATGTGGCTGCTGTGCCCCGTGCCAGAGAGGCCATGCGTGGGTGTGAGGGAGCAAGTGAGGCTGTGAGTGCGACCCCACATTGCCAATCACAACGCCCCGAGCCGCCAGCCACTCCCGGCAGTGCTCCCGAACCTTAGGTGCGTTCCGAGCCTCGTGCATGATGAAAATCACACCGTTGATGCGACTCTGCAGCGGGTACACCGGCCCAACACCCCCCCCCCCCCCCCCCCCCCCCACCACTGCTGCTGCCGCTGCTGCTGCTGCCTGCTGCTGCTGCTGCTGCTGCTGCTGCTGCTGGCAGCAGCAGGGGTAGCAGGATTTGCTGCCACACCCCCCTGGCCACCTTCAGGGCGGAAGTGCCCCCTGGCGATCTGAAAGGCCGGGCGCAGCCTGCGACAAGCCACGTTGAAGAGAACCTTCCTGGAAGGTTGGGAGACGCATGAGCATGGGGGATAGAGGAGTTTGCACATGGAATCTGACATGGGTACAGTGAGCTTGGAGTCGACTCAAAACTTGTCTCATTACAAGCAGCGGGGATACATGAGTTAGCACACGGGATCTGACATGGTACAGTGAGCCAAAACCGAGCACTAATGCAATCTTGCCTATGCCTGACGAGTTCTACTAACACGAAAACTTATTCTTTTCTGACACCTGTGTAGTGCATGAGAGCATGTGCATGGACAAACCAAATTGTTTGAACTAACAAGCTCACCTTGTGGTAAGTCACTCACTTATGCTCGTCTGACAACACGGAAATGTGTGGTTAATCTGCTCCTTGGGTAGCTTCACAGATCAACCGACCATTGATAGCACTAAACGATACACTTAAAACACAGTCACTACCGATGGTAACACACGTACTTATGCTTACTGACTCACTTGTGTCGTCTGACAGCATGTGAATGAGTCGATCAGTCTGCTCCTTGGGAAGCTTCACAGATCAACCGACCCATTGATCAGTCTGCTCCCTGGGAAGCTTCACAGGACCAAAAGATATAAGTAAAGCACATGCACTTGTGCTCGTCGGACGAGCATAAGGACTTTAAGACTTGATTGAGCTGACCGGCTTACTAATGCTCGACTGACAGTCAATTTTCTCCTTGTGAAGTTTCACAGATCAGCTGACTAACTCACAGGACTAATAGATATATTTAAGATGTGGATGACAGCATGAACAGGAGCGAGGAACATATGCTTTTCACCAACACACTCACTTGTGCTCGTCTGACAGCAGCATGTGGATGAGTCGGTCGATCTGCTCCTTGGAAAGCTTCACAGATCGGGACATGTCTTGCCGCCCGGTGAAGGTCAGGGAGAGATTTGACAGCAGTGTGGGTGTAGACCATCACTTCTGCTCCATTCACCTGAGGACACGTGTGCATATGGGAGCAGGGCGAACAGGTAAGCGGTAAGTGTGAGGCACGGAAAAACGGTCGGAATAATGAGGTTTGGAGAGGACTGCAACCCACATCCTGTCGAGCAGTAATTCGCTAATGCCGCACAAAACATCCCAGAGCAATGAACCACTCACGTCTCCCAAGCCCGGACTTTGGGGTCAGTCATCCATATCTGACAATGGCGGCATGTATCAGATCCCGCAAGCAACCGACGGCAGTGGGGAAGATGGGAGGAAGCGGGGAGAGGGAAAGTAAAGAAGTAATTCTTGAGTTGGTTTGGGTAGTCAGTCTTTTTCGCCCCTCGCTCCACTGCCCTGCCCGCCTCTGCCATTCTAGGTAGCGTGGATGGCGCAGGCAAGCGACGGATGCGGGGAAGAGGGGAGGAAGTGGAGAGGGAAGGAGTGGTCCAGTCCAAGTGGCACTCCGAAAAAAGCAAAACACATACACACACTGGGCGGGTGGGACATCTCAGCACACACATCGCATCGCATCGTATTGCATTGCATCGCATTGCATTGCATTGCATTGCATTGCAAGCATGGCGTCGAGCAGGCGATTTCATGTTCTGATACGTCTCAATCAGTGTGGTATACCACACACAGTGGAGCAAGGAAGACAAGCAGGCAGTCACGACACCTGACAAACACACGCTACACTGACAGCTGACACATTACACCATCAACCCACTTGACAGCTGGCAACTGCTTGGAAGAGGCAGGTGAAGGGGACCCAACCGAGATATCCCTACTCAAACCCCTCTCAAACCGCTCTCCACCGTACCCTCTCCTCTTCTCCTCCTCGTTTCCTCTCCTCCTCTCCTTCTCCCTTCCAAAACCCTCATCCTTCGCCACACCCCCTCCAAACTGGGTGATGAACTCAAACCTCCCCTCCTTCTCTCCACCACCTCTTGCCCCCCTTGCCCCAACTTCTTCCTGCTCCCCATCCGACCCCCCTTCCCTCCTCCCTCTGCCCCCATCCTTCTCCTTATCCCTATCCCTGCTTCTGTCTGAATCCCTGACCCACCTGTCCCCTTGCTTCTCCTCTCCCTATCCCTGTCCCTATCTATTTCTCTCTCCCTGTCATATTACCTCCTCTGCCCCTCTGTGTGGCCCCCAACCCGCACCAACCCCTGCTGTTTCCACCCCTCCCCTTTCCCTTGCTGCTTCTTCCCCTGCCTTCCGCTTCCTTCCCCTGCCGAGCAAGCTGTCTCCTCTCCTTGCGTGAGGGGACGCTGAGGGGGGGGAATACCATAACACAGGGCATGGGAGACTAAATGGGAACGAGTGAATGGGAGAGTGAGTGGGAAAGATTGAATGGGAGAGTGAATGGGAGAGTGAATGGGAGAGTGAATGGGAGAGTGAATGGGAGAGTGAATGGGAGAGTGAATGGGAGAGTGAATGGGAGAGTGAATGGGAGAGTGAATGGGAGAGTGAATGGGAGAGTGAATGGGAGAGTGAATGGGAGAGTGAATGGGAGAGTGAATGGGAGAGTGAATGGGAGAGTGAATGGGAGAGTGAATGGGAGAGTGAATGGGAGAGTGAATGGGAGAGTGAATGGGAGAGTGAATGGGAGAGTGAATGGGAGAGTGAGTGGGAGAGTGAATGGGAGAGTGAATGGGAGAGTGAATGGGAGAGTGAATGGGAGAGTGAATGGGAGAGTGAATGGGAGAGTGAATGGGAGAGTGAATGGGAGAGTGAATGGGAGAGTGAATGGGAGAGTGAATGGGAGAGTGAATGGGAGAGTGAATGGGAGAGTGAATGGGAGAGTGAATGGGAGAGTGAATGGGAGAGTGAATGGGAGAGTGAATGGGAGAGTGAATGGGAGAGTGAATGGGATGTCTGAATCTGATATGAACACGTGGGGCACATCAAGTTGAAGATACATACGTCAAAATAAGACACAGAGCGGAAATATACTGCTGTTGTTTTCTTTGCTTAAGCCTACCACACGCGCGCAGCTGACTGAGCAATGTCTGAATCTGATATGAACACGTGGGGCACATCAAGTTGAAGATACATACGTCAAAATAAGACACAGACGCTCACAAACACGATGCCTACCGAACCAATGCGATCATGACTCAATCAGTTGTTGGAATTTGCCTACCGAATCATTGCCTGCCATCTGTCGCAGCCTCTTCTCTTTCTCCATTGCATATACTGCCAAATCCATGTGCCGCCTGTACTCCTCTATGCCGTACCGCTCGGCCATATCTGTCAAACGCTTGACTCACTGATTACAAGTGATGGCGAGAACAAGAATCCCTTCATGTAAGACATAGCGCTGTGCCAGTAGTATCAACCGTGGAAGTGGGATCGAGCGGTCTTGAAAATACAGCGGTGGAGCGGTATTGCATGATACCGACTGGGATGGAACGACGAGTACTTCGCGACGCGACAGTAGTGAGCCAGTCGCGATCACCAGTTTCGGAAGATATATCCCATGTCGCAATCAGTCGCAAATAGCCTCCAAATGCGTCGCAACGAGTCATCGTGTAGAAATGGAGCGCAAATAGCCTCCGAATGCGTTTCGGATTCCTATGCTCGAGCGTCCTTGACATTCCTGCTGACTCTCTATTTATGTTGAGGTGAGTGATGACAGTCTGACATGAGTGGTCATCACTGGTTGGTTGTTGCCTTGCTGACTGCTAGTCTGCTAGTGTGCACAGCACAGTCTGACCGAGTGCTCGTTTATTACGGTGCAGTGAGTTTACACACGGTGTAGACAGCGTGTCTCAATTCACGCATTCGAATTAGTATGGACTCTAAGAAAACACCGAATATGTGGTACAAGCGTCCGGCTTGCATCGGGGTCAGCAAGCATATCGAGAACATTTGTATCGCATACAATCGTCACTAGCAGTTTACGTGCGATCAGGATTTCTGGCCTGTTTAGCCCAATCCAGCATCCTCCATCGAAACTGGCACAGCCATGGCTTCCGTTCCGCACTCGCTTCTCCATTCGTCCCTCAACACGCGCCAATATCACTCACCTCGCCTCCTTCCCGCGCACGCAA